ATTATACTATACGTACATCTCGACATATGTAAACAAATGTACATATCAATGTCTGGCCAAGCCTATTATTGAAGACTGATTTTCTTTTCTCCTTTAACACAACTATACTGGGCACATGGAAGAGATTTGTTTCATTCTTCTTCTTGTGAATTATTATCATGCTTTTCTTTGATGTTATTATACTGAAAATAGATAGATTCAAAGAAGAAGAAAAAAAAGAAATTTATAATCTATTTCATTTTTCACATTATGCACACATATAAAAGAAACAAAAACAAAAACTGATTAATATAATTAGCAGTAATTAATCATTCATGCAAGCTTCATAGTATGCCGAACCTCCAATATATAAATTTCATCTGACAGAATTTTAAATATCATATAATACGAAAAACAAAGAATGCAAAAGGTATGTCGAAAGACAAAAGACTGTCACCTTTGTTTTTGTCGTATTTGTTTTTTTTCTCACGTTTTCTCTATCGTACTATTTATCATTTTAGATTTCTATATTTTCTCTCGTTTTTTTAAAAAAAAAAACAAAATATTTATCATGTCTGATCGTTTAACTCAATTGCAAGATGTAGTTAATTTATTAGCAGATCATTTATGTAATGCAACAGGTGTTCTTCAAGAAACAGCACGACCTAGTCGATTTGGTGATTTTGAACAAAATTCTACTACAACCACAAATTCCAATGTAGATAATAATGGTGATGATTATTCGAGATTATTTGCATCATTAATAACACGTACAACTAGTGAACTTGTTGCTTTAATTGATTCCTTACCAGCCATTCCATCAACTGAAGATGATCTTTTAGAACAACATGCACAATTAGAATTATTAGAACAAGAGAATATTGAAACAACATCTCGATTAGAACAAACAACTGAATTAGCGGAATATCTTTTAGAACAAGTTCAAACATGTTTACAATCATTATCACAAGCTTTACTTGATGAAAGAAAAAAATTTCCACAAGGACAATAAATAAAATGAAATTTTGTTTGTTTTTTTCTTCTTCTTCTTATTTTGAAATGAAAGATAATATATTATTATTAGGTAAATCAGAATAAATGTATATAATACAAATTAATAAAGTCTTTTTTTCGATAAAATGTATTTTCCTTTAAATTATGACCAAAATAATCTAAGGTAAATATGTATTTTGTTAAGAATGGGGTTAATAGTGCATTTAAAGAAAAATATATTGACATAAGATAGACGCCATTTTTTATTTGTTAGATAAATTTGATGTGACAATATCTATGCTATTTGATATGATAGTGGTTTGTGTCATCTACGATTTTACAAGTGTAGTCTTTTTTTATCTCGTAAACATGTTTTATATATCTTGTAAATGAAATATTTTTAGAATGTTCATATCATTTTCGTGAATTAATTATTGAAAAATGTCTGCAACTTACCAAGATTATAAAGAACAAAATATTTTTTTAAATGATCCAAATTTTAGTACTTCATTACATATTATTAATCAACTATATATATATATGCGATCTAAGTCTTTAGTAATAGAGTATTTGAATTGAATTTCATTTATTGACGTGTTATTAAACTTTTAAAAGATGAATAACACTTGTCGATAATAGATGAAATTGACCTTTGAAAGAGATTGACTATCTGTGTGTATACGTGACTGGTAGAGGAAGTAATATGGGAAATAGAAGATAGAATTACAAAAACAAAAATATTAAAAAAATATTTTCTCTTTCATTTTGGTGTTAATAATCGTCCTTTCTCAATTTCTTGTTCCAATAATCGTTGTTCTTTACTTCGTTTAAATGTACGACGAAACCAATTTTGAAAACTCTTCGTAACATTTTTATAGCCAAGTCCATCAGGTGCACCACCTTTTCGAGCATCACTCACTGCCCATAGTTCATTTGAATGACGACGTTCGATTGCTTGTACAACACATCCACCACGAAAACCTGATATTGTATGACCTTTTGCTAGAAGACCATGTACTACATTCTACAAATAAAATAACAAGATGATAAAAGAGACAAAAAATACGTATTTTATATTCTTAGAATACCACAGGGAAACGTTTTTCTAGTTCAAGCTCCATTGGAATAAGTTGTTGATGAAGTCGAGGCATATCGACAGCATCTCGAATACTTTTTCCCAGCCAAAGATTATAGATAGCAACTTGAGCAACCGAAGAAATAATTCGACTACCACCAGAACCACCAGCTGTGAATATAACATTACCTCTTGAGTCAGTAATAAGAATAGGACTCATAGATGACATAGGACGTTTAACTAAATAATATATATAGTTTTATTTTCGAAATTGTCTATGTGTAATTATTTAGCTTACATGGCTTGATAAAATTAGCAGGACTTGGTGCATATCCATAATAATTCGATAAACCCGGTTGAGAAAAATCATCCATTTGATTATTATATATAATACCTAAAATAATTTAAATTATATATTTTCTTTTAGATAGAAATATTAACTAACCTGTATTGTGTCCATAAACAACAGCACCAAAACTAGAAAAATATTTTCATTTTTTTATTTTCAATGAGAAAAAGACGTATAGATTTACTCTGTATTAATTGTACTAGTAGCTGCAACAGCATTTCCTGCAGCATCAATAATTGAACAATGGCTAGTTCCATGATCTACATCATAATTAAAGTAATCGATTTCTTTTTGTTTTAATGTTAACGTTAGATACCTGTTTGAGGTTCAAACATTGGTTCGTAATAACTCAATGGTTGAGCTTTATCTTCATTAACACGTTGACGAATTTCTTCTGCATATTCAGGAGAAAGAATTAAATTCAATAACTAAAAATTAATGATAAAATTTTGAAAAAATAAAGAAAATGACATTATTTTTACTCGTTCAATTTCTTGATTTTTCTCAGTTTGTGAATCATATTCATCGCCCAATGCTGATCGTTTTCCATAGGCAAATTTGAATACTTCATTAAGAATATGATAAAATCTCACTTGTTTTTCATCTG